GAGGCTGACTTTCCGGATCTTCTTCTTGACCTAGTGCTAACGTGATTATGAGCTACAGCTCTGATGATGTCCCTCATGAGATGGACCAAACTTGTGCCCGTTTTCACCCGAAGCGAGGGAGAATGTCTCGTGGACTGCATCATCCGGAACATCGTAGTAAAGCCAAACGACTGAAGTACAAGGGATTCAATCGTCGCCTTTTGTTGAGGTTAACCTGCGAATCTCTTCTCCATTAACTTTCATACGAAATGAAAGTCTCTTCAGCAACGCCTTCATACATACGATGATCTGGGTTGACAGCCCTGAGACTTTGATAAATTGGAGCTGAGCTTGAGTATGTCATGTGACAGGCAGCCCAGGAATCATTGTAGCTGTATACATGCAACGAATTTTCGTATATACTCAGAGTTTCGAGACTATCAGTAGGCCAAAGTGAATGCATCACATATACATACAGAAAAGCATTACACCAAGAAATGTTATATTCTTCGGTACAGACAACAGCTCATCTCGTATTTATCATAACTTCAGGCTACTCCTTCGTTTTCGGGCCAGGCCGATAAATCACACCCTTTTTTTGAGGGAAGGGGTATTTTTTATGAGTTAAAAGTTAAGTTGTCAAAGGTAAAGCGAGAAAACGGTATGTAGTTCGCATTCAAGTCCCCCTCAGTATACAAGTCCAAATATCGTTATTGCCAAGACTCGCTTTAATTTTTGCCCTCAGCTCCAAGGTTCGAACCCCGTTGAGGAGTGAAAAAGGCTAATCGAAATTTGTACCAAAGCCAAAACACTACGTCATGGGCTGATGTTTCCTGTCCTGTTTTGTCTACGCCTCAGGCAAGAAGTATTTTCCAACTTTACTCTCTCCCCTTTGCCTTGCCTGGATCTACAGATGCAGGCATTTGCCGACTGGACACCGGCCGCGAGTCCCCTGCCTTTAGACTGCCCCTTCTTCACCCCTCCCTGCCTTTCCACATAGGCTCATCGGCACCCTGGAGTCGTGGCGACTAAATTGGCCGTGCAACAAGCCGATAGGTCGTCAGGACGCCTGTTGCGCGCTACCTTTGCGTTGGACCCACGGACTATGAGCTCGTGCCAGTGTCGTCGGTCTCGCGCTCGGGCCCAATCAGCGCATCGAGTCGGTCCGTCCAGGCCCTGCTCTGCCCGGCCCGGCCATACACGGGACCGGCAACAGGCGGTCAGGCCGGAGACAAGCGTCAGTCGCACATGTCCAGACTAGACAGAGACCAGAAGTCTCGTAGTCTGTACCACTTTGACTCGTGGTCCAATCGCGTGGCGACGCCAGAGATACCGAAAACCTGCCTACCACACCGTCAACCGGTTTGTCTTCACGTATCCACAAGTTCTGACGGTTCAACCGAAGCCTGGACTTCCGATTAGTCCGGTCGTCAAGTCAACAATACCACGTACCGGGCGGAACTCAGACTCAAGTTTGCTTGTCTCCAATTCGCGTCTACTAACCTACACAAACATGCCTGTCGGTCGAGTGGTGGTTGAGTCAGAACAACATGAAAGTCAAAGGAGGCTCTGAGACTCATTCTCATTCTCGACTCTTATAGGTTGGTTTGACGTCCAAAAGCCAGCTAGGCCCTTTTTACATATCCCTGTTTGTATGTTTGTGTGTGTGTGTGTGTGTGTGTGTGTGTGTGTGCATGCGTGTGGCTGACCGGCTGGCTGGGAGGCCCAAGGAGCCGAATTAATCTACAGGACAGATGGACCTTAGGCACGAGTTGGATAGGCGCGTGTAGGGCCCTGGGTTCTGTCTCCCCAAACTGTCCACCCATTTTAGGCGTCCATTCCGCACAAGTGGATAGGACACATGTGCCACTACATGTCCAACCATCTGTCCGTCCTATCGCCTCCCCGGGACTCTCTGATTGGCCCACCAATCAACACCTATCCGTGCATCTCGTCCCTGATTCCCTCGCTTTTTACCGAACGTCCCC